CTTCACCACATATGCCCCTCAGTGGCCTCTACAAGCTGGTCTAAGTCCCATCCAAAAGCCTGTTTGGGATACCCTTGTAACCCTAACCCTAACCCTAACCCTAACCCAAACTTGCCCATTTGCCACCACATCTTCACTGAAGATGAGCTCAAGTTGAGCCAAGATGCAGCGACTTCTCCCAAATGCAGGGCAAGTTCTAGGAACATCAGTCAACCTCTCTCATCTTCCAGCATATGTAGTCATCTCATGCCAAGTCTTGTGTACAGGCTGCATGTGCAGACCACTCTACTCTGTCTCATCTGCTTCCCCTGCATTCATGCAGTCTCAAGTGCAATATGTCTTCATCATTTGAACTTCCCTGATGTTCCTTCATCTTCAGGTGAAATATGAGTGGTATCAGCTGTAATGGAGAGAACTTGAGTCAACTTGAGTTCAACTTCAGCACATCTCATGTGAGATAGCAGTGCAACAGCTCATCTTACCTCAACTTCATGTGAGATAACAGTGCAACAACTCATGTTCCCTCAACTTCAAGAGAGATAACAGTGCAACAGCTAGTCTCACCTCAAGTTCAAGAGAGATATCACTGCAACAGCTCATCTTCTCTCAACTTCAGGTGAAACATCACTGCAACAGCCCATCTTCCCTCAACTTCACATAAATATCACTGCAACAGCTCATGTTCCTTCAACTTCAGGTGAAATATCACTGCAACATCTCAACTTCAAGCAAGATACCACTGCAACACCTCATCTTCCCTCAACTTCAGATGAAATATCACTGCAACAACTCATCTTGCTAAAACTTCAAGAGAGATATCACTGCAACAGCTTGCCTTCTGTCAATCACATGTGAGATCCTGGTCAACCAGCTCATCTTCCATGAACTTCATGTGTAACATCAGTCCAATAGCTCATGTTCCCTGAACTTCATCTGTGATAGTGGTAACCCCTCAGAACTTCCCTCAACTTTGGATGACATGAGCACATGTTTGCTCATGGCTCTTCAACTTGCTGCAACTTCCCACATTGAACACAAAGATAAACTCAAGTCCTTTGAAGTTCCACCATCAGACACACTGCCTGCCACTTGTTCTCAAAGCAAAGGGTCCCCCCTTTGCCCCCTTTATGCTCATCTGAAGTTCTCTCAAGTTCAGACACCATGAACCTATGCCTGTTCATCTTCCCCCATCTTGGCTCATCTTCCTCCTTCTGGAGCTGAACTTCATTGAAGATGCATCACCAGGCACACTTCTGCAAACTGCCTCCAATCCAAAGGGTCCCCCCTTTGCTCCTCAGTGGCCATCAGAAGTTCACCCAAGTTTGGGCAACATGAGCCAAGATAAGGCCATCTTCCCTCATCTTGGTTCATCTTCCTCCTCCTGGAGCTGAAGTTCCCTGAAGATGCACCACCAGACACATGTTTGCCATCTGGTCTAAGACCAAAGGGTCCCCCCTTTGCTTCTCAGTACCCCTCACAAGTTGTGTCAAGTTCAGGCAACATGAGCCAAGATTAGGCCATCTTCCCTCATCTTGGTTCACCTTCCTCCTTCTAGAGCTGAACTTCCCTGATGTTGCACCACCACACACATTTTTGGAATCTGGTCTCAGACCAAAGGGTCCCCCCTTTGCTTCTCAGTACCCCTCACAAGTTGTGTCAAGTTGAGGCAACATGAGCCCATGTCTGTTTATCTTCCTTCAACTTCCTGCATCTTCCTTGTTCTGGAGCTGAACTTCCCTGAAGTTGCACCACCACACACTTCTGCCATCTGGTCTGAGACCAAAGGGTCCCCCCTTTGCCCTTCAATGCTCATCACAAGTTGTGTCAAGTTCAGGCAACATGAGCCAACATCAGGTCATCTTCCCTTATCTTGGTTCATCTTCCTCCTTCTGGAGCTGAACTTCCCTGAAGATGCACCCCTAAGCACACTTTTTGGAATCTGGTCTCAGACCAAAGGGTCCCCCCTTTGCCCCCTCAGTGCCCACACTAAGTTGTGTCAAGTTCAGGCAACATGAGCCAACATCAGGTCATCTTCTCCCAACTTGATCCTCAACTTGTGTCAAGTATGCTGAAGATGACTGAACTTAAGGTACCAAGCTGAACTTAGAGGCACTTTGTGTCATCCCTGAGAGACTTTTGTGCAATCCAATTCCAGAAAGTCTCATGCCACAGCCTCATGTAAGTCACTGTAACAGACAAGGAGCACTTTTCTCAAAGATGACCAAGTTAGGCACTCTAACCATGCCATCTCAAGGTTAGATGGACCTCACGCCGTCAAATCTGTAGGGTTTTGGGCGCTGCTTTACCAAATGGCTCTCCTGAGGCCCCTCTAGATGCCTATAACACAAATTCCAAAAACCCTATTGGGGACCCCCTTGTAACCCTAACCCTAACCCTAACACCTATCTAACCCTAACCCTAACCCAAAAACTCCACATCACTTTGGCGCACTTCAGCGCCGCCCCAAAGGGCGCCAAAACACCGCTGGGGGCGCCCAACCCAGCCACCTCCACATCACTCCAGCGCACCTCCCTGCCTGCGCACGCCAGCCACAGCTCAGCGCTCTTCCAGTGCTCTTACACCTTCTCCCAGTGCCCCTTGGTGCACTTCATTCTGTGCTTCTCACCGCACTTGACACTTTGAAAGCCCATATCTCCAT